AACCCCTCTTCACTTAAGAAGGGGGAATATTGGGGCTTTAACTGTTGCCCGGAGACTGGAACTCGTAGTATTTAATAACAACAATGTATGTCATTGTACTCTTACTAAAATTGACCTAATGATATTTGTAACTGCTTCTAGATGTTGGGAAAGGTTTGACACACACTGTAAAGTGTTTGGGTTTAATGCATATGTTAAAAATTTTAGATTTTGATCCCTCTACACTGCCCTAATTTTTGGCAGGCAGCACTCATAATTTCATGTTGGAATAGGCATTTAGGAAGAAGGATATTGTTGTGCTTTCCCGTCCCTTTAAGGGACAAGCCACGCCAACTCCTGTTACCTCTGACCTGATCTTGCCCCTTCCTCTTCTGTTTTCTTGGCGTGCGCACGTGTTCTCTCTATCTCTCCTTTTATCTCTCTCTCTCTCTCTCCCTCTCTCTCTGTCCCCCCTTCACCTTTCCTCCTCCATAACCCCCTGAGTAAACATTCAACCTCACCCTGCATATTGTGTCTACCCATGTTTCTGACCGTTGAGCTCCCAGCAACCCTTCACAGTTTTTAGGCGGGGGGGGGGGGGGGGGCTCCAACTGCAGGCTTTCAGGGCCTCGGTTGTTCCCTTCGCTGGCATTCAATTCGGCTTGTCTCCTGTGCTAAGCCCATGCCTAAGATGATATGGCCTTAACCAGGCCCTCAGCTCACCCACGCCTGGAGGCCCGGGGTCTCCAGTTCTCGCTCTTTTTCTCTTTTCACTTCTTTTCTTCCTTCTTTTCGTCATAACTGTCACTACGGTGCGGCACACCACTAGGGTGTGGCCTGACCTTGGCTGAATCCCTCCTGCCTGGGAATCCCTCTCCTGTTGGAGTCTCGGGTCGATTCAGTCAGGTTATAGCATCCCCCCCTGTGAGCTCAGATGCCTGTTCACAGGGCCTGGGTATTCATGCCATCTGCATCTTGCCTTAACGGGGAGCCGTTCTCATTGTAGGCTTGAGGTGCTACAGTTTTTGGGGGTGTTTTCATGGCCTTGACCATGGGAGCCAAGCCATCCAGACCTATCACTCTGGCCTCATGCTTTAAATGCCTCTCACTTATCAGTCTCTGTCCAAAATGGCCCCAACTACCTTAAAAAAATGTAAATGGCCGTTTTTTTCAGTTCCAGCCTTTTGCCCTTCCCCTCTGTGGCTTTTGTTATGGCATGGCGGCTCTCCAACAGAGCAGACTACACGTGGTGGTCGCCATCTTGGCTGAGGGTCAGGTTGCATGACTGCACTCTCCTGGTTTTACTCCCAGTTTTACTCTGCCTTCTCACCCAGTTTTCACTAAAATCCTCCTATTAACTCTGTTGCATATATTTTGAACAATGTCACGCCTCTGATAAAGCCCATCAGAGTCGTCCACATTGCCCAATTCCTGTTCACTCTTTCTATACATAATAGTACATATATTTTAAACTGGTGTGTACCTTTAAGCTGTTCTCTACCATTGTCAGTTCTGCCACTAACCTTATATTACAAGCAGTTTTTTCCCTCACTCTGCCTTTTTACAAATGTAAATCTTACCTGTTGAGAGCCAGTGCAGTCAAGCTCAGACACAACTTTCCAAACAAATTCTATACTATAGTTATACCTGATAAACAGCCCTCAACTGCTCAGAGATCTAGGGAATGTGATATTTAAGTATTTAATTATTAAAAAACTTTTCACAACAACAACAAAAAAAAGAGACAGGTTGGCTCCTAGCAGCAGCTCTCTGCTCCCTCCAAAGAAGACAGAAGACAGACACGCGCAGAACAACGTCCTTCTGCATTTTGCTTTGACGGCAGAGTGCTGACCATTGGGAAAACCTGCCTTTCATCTAAAGTAAAGACCTCTAGACATGGACAGAATTGCTGGAATCGACAGCCTAGACAGGTCAAGGTAGGCCTGTCTTCCTACAGATTTCTTAGCCAACAGGGTCTTCTGCAGCCTGGCAGACCCTACCCTAAACAGCAAAGGTCAAGTGCAACCTTCAGCCACCACAGAGGACCCAAAAGAGTAGCTCTGGGTGCCAACCAAGTAAGTTCTCTGTCATTTTTTAATCAGTAACTCAATTAAAATCTTATCCTTCTCAAAGATCTCTGACAGTTTGACAGCTGAGAGGTTTCGCCAGGTTGAGGTTTTGCAAGGTGACCTCACCAAACAAATATCAAATCAAATTTATCTCTTATGCCACAGTCATTATATGTCGAAAACTTCTGTTTTCACAAACCCAAGGAGTTCTTGTGAGTTCCAGGGAGCCGAATTAAGAAATCCATCTTAAACAGGTCAGATACCCCCTCAATTCGCTGGTCCTACAATTTTTATTCCTTAATTTAACTTTGTTTTTTGTGCCACAGACACCAGTCAAAAGCAAAGAGAGCAGCTATGACAGGATGTGACCAGCACCCAGCCTTCTCTCGTGCCCCCCCCAAAAGATGATGCCCACAATCAGCCAGAAGCAGTCTTGAGAGTTCGCCGCCCCAGTTCCTTTGGGCTGTGGTGTCTGGTCTCCTGCTTTTTATTTTAAGGAAGACGTGGGAATGTTGTGCTTTTCCGTCCCTTTAAGGGACAAGCCACACCCACTCCCATTACCTCTGACCTGCCCGCTGCCATCTTGCCCCTTCCTCTTCTGTTTTCTTGGCGTGCACACGTGTTCTCTCTGTCTCTCCTTTTATCTCTCTTCCTCTCTCTCTCTCTCTCTCTCTCTCTCCCACTCTCTCTGTTCCCCCTTCACCCTTCCTCCTCCATAACCCTCTGAATAAACATTCAACCTCACCCTACACGTCGTGTCTGTCCATGTTTCTGTCTTCTGCCTGCCCGCCATGTGTTTCCCTGCCTGGGACCAGCCATTGCTCAGGGACCAGCAGCCATCTCTGCCTGGGGCCTGCTGCCTGCTGCCATATGGCCTGCCACCACTGCTCTGAGACCAGCAGCCATCTCTGCCTGGGAATGGCTGCTCCAAGAGCCCACTGCCTGCCGCCACTTGGCCCGCTACCACTATTTGGGACCTACAGCATTTCTGCTGCATACTGCCTCAGGGATCTTGCAGCATTTTTTTTAAAAGAATATTAGATATACCTTAGGCCAGACTAAAAGGTGAATACTGGGTTTGGAAAATGCCCTTTCTTCTTGTCTGGAGATGGAGTTATTGGTGCCCAAATTATATCTTTACACAATCTATACGTAATATCTTTAATTTGAGGAGCTCCTCACAGTCTTTTCATTAATGATAGATGCAGGGGCCCAACGATGGGAGATAGTGTGGAGTTCTCACCTGAACAGCACACCATACAGAGGTTATAGAGGCCGGCTCAACATGGCATGTTGTCAGGACGAGAATCGCCCTCCACATGGCCTAAGACAGGGAACCCTGTGGTCAAAGACCTGCTTACTTTAGGTCTTGCTAGATACCCTTTATTTGAGGAGCTCCAAGGATGGGCGACTTGTGACAAGACCTCCCCCAACCTAAGACAGGGTCCTGGGAACCCGAGGACGGGTAAGGGGGAAAAAGACCTGGTCCCCACTCGACCTAAGACTCATAAGGCACCCCTCTGTTCCCAGGAGAGGTAAATTGCTCCACCACTTGAGAGGAGTGTCACTCCTTGTCTCAGCCCCTTCTCCTTTAGATCTGACACCATGGTTAGACTCTGACCTGGTGCCCTCCACTTGATAGCTGCCTGCCTTTATAAAAGGAAGAAGGATATGTCAGGAGCCATCTCCCCCTAAAAATCATTTATGTCAGGAGCCATCTCCCCCTAAATCATTACAGGAACCATCACTCTGAGGAGTTTGCAAAGAGTTCCACACCCTAACAATTGTTCTATTGACAGAGCCTACCCCACAACCAATTATCTGTTAATAGAGAGCTATCTGTTAGTGGAACCCACCCCACACTCTAATTATCTAGAGAACTAGGTGTGTCAACTTGTGACTTCCTGGCCGAGGAATCATGACCTGACCGAGTAACCTCCTGGCCTATGTGACTGACGTGGACCACGCGGCAAGAGCCCCTGCCCCCCCCCTCAAATTCCTCATCCTATATAAGCTGTAACCATACTCTAATAAACGGAGGCTTTGACAAGAACCCCGCTTGGCCTCCTTCCTCTTTTCCCGCCCTTATCTTCCAGATAGCGCCTCTCCGGGACCCTGGAATTACTAACTGCCAGGCGGGTTACAATCCCTGGACTCAATGACCTGCCAAGGCGGTTTACAACTTCATAGAGAGGCAGGGTGCAGAACCTCAAGGACTAAAAGAGAGCAGACAGTAAATAAAAACCCATTTAGTGAACATGGTAGACATGATGGAAACAGGGTTTGGTAAGACTTTTCCTGTAAGAATGTTTACAAGAAGGCAACAAAGAAAAATACGAGAGTCAGGCAGAAGGCTCAACAGGTAAAAGCATTTGTCCACTAAACCTTGCCCAAGGATCAGAGTTCAATCTCAAGTCCAAATCTTGATAACTGTATTATGACCACCATACTGCCAAGAAAATGCACACACACACATATACACATACACACAGAGAGAGAGAGAGAGAGAGAGAGAGAGAGAGAGAGACAGAAGGAGAGAGAAAAAGCAAAGCTGTTTTAAAATACTACAGACATAAAATGGCCAATAATGAATTTGTAATAACTTATAGAGGAAAGAATGACAAACTAAGCAGAAAAATAGAAAACAAACCATTGTATCTAAGAACATTTTTCAGGAAATATTGGTGAATCTCTAAGGGTTTAGAGTTAGTGTGGCAGCATCAGAGGACTGTAGGATCAGCAGATAAGGATCTCCAATGTGAGAAGGTGCTTGCTGAAGCTGCTCATTAGGAACTGCTGCTTAATTCCCCCAATGAAAATTTTTACAGCCAATGGTTCCATAGCACTCTGTTCATGGTTCTGGAAACCACAGGTTTCAAATCAATAACCATTTTCAACCTTCCCAGAACTAGCTTTATAAAAAATGATCCCAAGTCTGATTTTCAAACTTACCAATGTATAAAGGGGAGTTTTCAGGTTTGGCAAAATCTTCTATGTAAGAAATGCCCAAGGGCATAATGGGAGTTTCACCAATTCCACGAATAAGATTTCCTACCAGTACATATATCCACATTAAGGATTTAATTTCTTTTTCACAGTCTACATTAAAACAACAGAAAATTACATGAGCATTTTGACAGTCAAGTGTTACTAACAGTTAATTCAAATTTATCTTTGTTTCTTGAGGCCAAAAGCCTATGATGACCATCAAGTAACTTATATAACTATGCTAGCAATGAATCATTGAGTCACCCATATTTTATATTTTAAAAGAATACTTAGCTATGATAATTACCACTTTAGAGGAGAGATGACTTTACATCTCTTCCCAATTCAGTGTTTAGTGACAACATATTGGTTATAAGAATTTACAACAAAAAAATAAGCAAGCAGTAAAACCAAGATTTTTGTTCACTCAGTTTTCCACCAACTAGTAGACCCAGTTAGTTAATATGTACACTGCATAATTTCTCCACAACATTGAGAGTTGAAAAAGAACACATGGGCTTATGTCTAACAATTCATGTTGTACTGATATAATACAGAGAGAATATTGATGGAAGTTTGAATTCCCAATAGCCTCAATTACATTGTAAAAAATAAATATTTACCTGAAGAATAGACATATTTTCCCTATAGATCTTATCTTTTACGGTCAACATAATACTCCCACAATTGTTTAACACTGGGATAACATAAACAAGGCCAAATGGACTGGAAAGGTCAAAGGTGAAAGCATTGAGTAATTGCATGCACCTTCTACACTTAAGCTAAATGAACTGCCACTCTGTAGGGAAGCTCAACTTGGTGTTTTTAGGGAAGTAGACAAAGTACTCTCTCTTTGGATTGATCAGTGAATGCCCATAAATATCCTAAGCACAGTTGGGTCCTGAGGCCTAACTCTTATTTATTCTTGATTAAAGTAAAATCCATTTCTATTTCTATGTATTCAAATTCTTATCTTTGATAAGCATGATGATTTCAGTCTACAGATCACAGAATGACTCTCAATCATCTTATAGGGCAGAACTAAAAGTATCAGACTTTGGAGGCTCAAGTGATTTCCTGGGGCATTAAACATGGAAGATTTTAATTTATCCACCAAAATGCAAGGAACACAATGGATGGATTTCCAAAGGTCAGTTCAGGAGATGAAAATGAGCAAGCATTGAGGTCACTATTTCACCTTGCTTTGCTTACGAGGTATTGTAGATCAGAGCTTCAGAGATGTCTGCTCTTTGACTCTCAAATTATTTTGATCTCCACAGAATCCCTCAGAGCAGTGACATGACCTCTGTGTGATTAATGCCTGTGGGACCTGGTGGGAGAACAGAAACCAGGCAGGACAAAAACCCCAAAAAGCAGGTCCTCGTGTTACAACATTCCAACCCTGGAGACTGCTGCAAATTCTGTGGCATGGATCTAGCATACAAGGGAGAAGTTTTGGCCTGAGGCAATCCTACTGAGACAGTATCAGACTATGTGTCCATGAGATGTGTTGGGTCTTTTAGTGTAGGGGTAGCCTCAGTCAATCACCTTAATTGTAGGGCAGGGTCCCCTGAGGATATTTTTTTTTACTAATAAATATTACTGGTGTGCTTCCCCCCTTCCCTTCTGCTTTCCTGTTCTCTGCGGGAACCTCAGGTTCTGTAAGTCTTTTCCTAATTAAAGCTGAATATTTTATTATAATTTCTGTCTGCCTTCATTTACATCACTACATTTTATCATATGTGACTTTAAAAATACTCTTTAAAATGTGTTACCTTAAAGAGCATGTGTGCACCATGTTTGTGCAGATGCCCAAGAAGGACAGAAGAAGGCACACAATTCCCCAGAACTAGGTTGACAGGGGTTTGAGAAAAATATGTTGTCATTGTTGGGAACAAATCAGGCTCTCTGTAAGCATGCTATGGACCTCTAAATGGACATGTCCCCCTTTAGAAGCTCAAATATTAAATACTTAGTCTCCAGTAAGTGGTATTTGGGGAGGTGGAGGAAGAATGTCACTGGAGATAGCCTTAAAGAGCTTGGAGCCTGACTCTACTTCCAGTTTTTTCCCCCTCCCTTACATTTACAGTTGAGATGTGAGCTTCTAATTTCAGAATTTCAGGCTCCCACTGCCACTTTCCCTGCCATGATTGATTCTCATTCCTCTGGTGATATGGGAGTCCCCTCTGTGTGCTGTCATTACCATTAATGAATAAAGAAACTGCCTTGGCCTGTTGATAGGGCAGAACTTAGGTAGTTGGGGAGAACTGGACTGAATGCTGGGCAAAAGAAGGGTGGAGTCAGAGAGACACCATGGAGCTGCCACATTCAGACATGCTGAATCTTTGCCAGTAAGCCACTGCCATATGGCAATATACATCTTAACAGAAATGGGTTAAATTATTATAAGAGTTAGCCAATAAGAAGCTAGAGCTAATGGGCCAAGCAGTGTTTTAGTGAATATGGTTTCTGTGTGATTATTTCAGTTCTGGGCAGCCATGACAAACAAGCGCCCTTCCTCCTACACTCAGGCTTTTCCACCTGTGGGTTGTGACTATTTTGGGGATGATCCTTTCACAGGGTTGAAGACTACTTGATAACATGGATATACAAAATGAAGGAGTAACAAAATAATTTTATTATTCATGGTCCTCACAATTAAAGTGTTGAGCATTAGGAAGATTGAAAATTACTGCTTTAGCATCATAAACACAAATATAGTCTTCTGTGTATAAGGTCCCTTGCCCATGGTAATCTACCAAAATAAAAGAAAAGAAAATAGTACATGCTATAAATATTTTAATATGGCATTTGGTTATGTTTGTGGGGCATGTATAGAGACCAGTCACCATGCACTGACATAATCATTGGATTGATCTTTAAAAAGAGTCATAAAATATGTTGATGGAGTCTTAAGACTGGCAGTATTGAGAAGTACTGACAGGTAACAAGTGGTGTTAATTGAAAGAAGTTGGTCATCATGATGGTATGTCAACAGAGATTATATCTCACCATTTCCTGTATCTTGTTTACCATTCTTCCTACCCACCATGAAGTGAAGAACAGCATGAACAAAAGCTCATCTCACCATGATATTCTACACATAAACATGGGACAAAGTGACCATGGAATGAACCCTCCAAAACAGTAAGTTAAAACAAACTTGTCCTTCCTTGAGTTGTTTGGGATTTTGATCACCGTGATGTGAAAATTATTAATACAACTAACTTATAAATGGCAGAAGCCAGGACCCAGTGCATGAGCCCATAGGAAGTAAGGGAACCACTACTGTTTGGTTGAACTATAAAGCCAAGCTTCTCTTGGGAAAAGGAAACTAAAAGACAAGTTACTGTGGAATCAATTAATTTTGAACAGTGACTATGCACCTGCTTTTCCATGGTGCGTCAGGCATGCAGTACAGATCTGGGAAAGTTTCTGTCAGTATATCTTATAGTATAATAACTGTGATGGCTAGTTTTTATCAACTTGACACAAGTCGAGATATACCTGAAAGAAAGTATCTTAATTGAAAAACTGCCTCCATTGGCCTGTGGGCGTGTGTATGAGGCATTTTCTTCCTGGCTAATTGATGTAAGAATTCATAGAACACTGTGGGTCGCACCATCCTTGGGTAGCTGGGTCTAGGCTGTATAAGAGAGGAAGCTGAGCAAGCCAGAGGACCTAGCCAGTATGAGTCACTCCTTAGTGCTCTCTGCTTTGTTCTCTCCCCCCAGGTTCCCTCATGATTGGGTACAATTTGTAAGCAATATAACCTCTTTCCTACCTTTCTTGAATTTAGTCCATGTTTTATTACAGCAACAGGAAACCATACAAGACGAATCACATAGATCACATCATAAGTCTAGATCTGTCCTTATAAGTCATTTTCCCTTGTGGGACTAATTCTACAATGGTGCTAGAGTAGATATATTTTGCTTATTTTTAAAATACTCACATTAAGAAACAAAGGAGTCTTATTGAATATATTCAAACTCAGGGAGCAGAGTATTTCATGTTATTGCACAGCTCCCTTCTATGAAGAGGGAAATAAAGATTATTCATTTGTCTTAGTTGCCTACTAAACCCAGTACCACATTCAAAGTCCTTCATAAAAGAGTGTTCTGTGCCTGAGTCTCTGAGAAGAAAGCAATAAGAAGTACTAATCACCTTCTGGTTCTGGTATTGTTGTTAAGGTCGCACTTCTGTTTCCCGAACACAAGAAGCTGTTTGAAAACAAGTTACTTGATGGTGAGATCATTTTCTCATATTCGTATCTGTATGGACACAGAAAATATTCACCATGAGGTCTTGAGGGCAATGAGAGCATCTACAATTCATTGACTCCTGCTTTCCTAAAAACACAGTATCTAGAGGCCGTGCAGACATGTATTCACAGTAGTCATTCTGACCATCATGAATCCCATTGCTGGGCCAGGGAGATGACTCAGCAGGAAAAGAACTCTCTGCAGAGCCTGATGACCTGAGCTCAGTCCTGGAATCACATAAAGGTGGAGGAAGAGGAGTGACTCCATAAAGTGGTCCTCTAATCTCTACATGGGAATACCTACACCATCCACAGACACATATACACTGGCACACACAGGCACACACACACACACACACACACACAAATAAATAGAAACAGAAATCTGTATCATGAAGGTGTGCATGTAGTTGCAGGGCTGAATACCATAATGCATTATCAGGGAGTGATGGTCCTTGCCTGCCAACCTAGCACTGGAGAGGTGGAGGCTCAAGGTCCCCCTCAGCTATGTAGCTAGTTTGAGGTGAGATTGGGCTTCACAAGAGCCTATCTGAAATAAAAACAAAAAAAATGATATAAACAAACAAGCAAACAAAAAGCAGAATCCAATTTTTAAAACTTGAATGAATAAAAATAATAGATATTTATTAATATTTAGCTATAGTTAATTAATTTTATATAGTTACATATTTAAATAATAAATATTTAAATAATAAATATCATCAAAAGAAATTGTGTATCACCAAAAAAGTGCCCCTTCTTTATAGTTAGCTCTCAAGCCTCTACATGTAGGTGACATAACATTCAGGTTCTCTAAAACCTACCCTCTGTGATTTCTAAATGACTATTTCCTAGAAATCAGCCGGGAGAGATAAAGAACAAAAGCAAGAAAGAGAAAGAGACTCACTAAAGTATCATTGAGAAGATAAAAGCTTTAGAGAGACACAAAACAACACAACAAATCAAGAGAGTTGCTCTGCATTTTCTGAGCTGTGGTCGTATTCTCCCTTTCTGAGAATTCCATCATTCTCACAATGTACTCATTAATTTCAACAGGAAAAAGAGTTCATGTGTCACAAGAGGTGACAGACTCCATCTTGTGGCAAGGCCGTGTCATGAGAAAGAAAACTTGCTAATGTACTTTGGTCAGAAAATGACAGACTGCAGAGTAGAAGAGAATGTGTCCAGCTAAGACTCTTCTGATTGTATGCATGCTGGATTTCCTTTGTTTCTTTTTATTTATTTATTTAGACATAAGTGTTCAACATTCTAATTTTTTTTTTTTTTTTTGGATATTTCGAGACAGGGTTTCTCCGTAGCTTTTGGTTCCTGTCCTGGAACTAGCTCTTGTAGACCAGGCTGGCCTCGAACTCACAGAGATCCGCCTGCCTCTGCTTCCCGAGTGCTGGGATTAAAGGCGTGTGCCACCAACGCCTGGCCAACATTCTAATTTTTAAGCTGCATACTATAGCACAGAAGTCATACCAGCTACTCTCAAGACCTGCTGCCTGGATGGCCCCACAGAGCTTCCAATGAAGTATGGACAGGAGACTGTGTCTCCTTTCTCATGACCCAGTGAGGACAGGTCAGCTTCAAAGAATTATCACCTTTGGCAGAAGATGGTAAAGTTTAATAATAGTCAAAAATTTCTTGACATTAATTTGAATAAAATAGAAGGTAAAAAACAATTTTAATTCCATGTGCATACTTTCAATTCTCCGCAAAAACAAAGAGGCAAAAATATCCTTCATTTCATTCATTATCCAATTTATGTAAGGGTGTATGCTCAACATCTATTTATTCTTAACTGACAATAAAAGGGCAGAAAAAAGGTCAAAATGAAAAAGGGGAATGGCAATTTCCTCGCAGATAGAGAAATCTAGAGATGAGGATGTAGTTCAATTAGTACACCAATCCTGGGTTTAATCCTAAGCACTCAATAAAACCAAGCATGATGGATCAGACCTATAATTCTAGCACTCAGGAGATTGAATAAAAAAGAAAAGAAGTTCATGATTGTCCTCAAATACAGAGTACATTCAAGGCCAACCCGAGCTACATGAGATTGTCTTTCAAAAAATGAAATATATTTATATATGACTTGTGAAATCCAAGATACCTTTGTGGGTACAGATGCCTGTGTGCAAGCCTGACAATCTAGATTGCATGTCAGGTCCCACAGAGTAGGCAGAGAGACACTACTCCTGAGAGTTGTTTCCTGACCTCATATGAAAGCACACACACTCCTTCACCAGAACAAAATAGGTGAAAACAAAATTTTAAAAAAGTCTTATTGAGGGATTAAAAATGTGGTCACTTAAGCTCATCAATCTTGTGATTGAGATATGGATGTAAGAAAGGCCCCTGAATGAGAGCGCAGGGAAATATAACTATCATGCTTCAGGGAACAATAGGGAATGTTTCAGGTCTCTACTTAAAACTGCATGAAGAGACTCCAAACTCAGGACCCAGCTGAGTACTTGAAGCAAAGTCTAAAGTGAGGGGTACGGTGTACATAAGGAATTTCAAGATACTCATGTTCATCCTCCAGCTCTCCAAATGGAAAGGTTAAAAGGTAGGAAAAGATCCACACTGCTACAATGGGGACACAGAGGACAAAAAGAAGAACCATTTCGTTTTAAAACTCCATGCACCAAAAGATGCTGCTCCCATTTCCTTTCTAGCTGATAGCCAAGTTTCTATATATTAAGAAAGTGCAAAGAATTTCTGCCTAGGATAATAATTTGCCCATGCTTCTGAGAAAGATTAACATCATCTGGTCCATCTCTCTCACCAGCCAGTCCAACTCAGACAGAACCCAGTCCATCTCAATCACCACTCAGTCTAGATTAGTCATGATTCAGTCCAGATAAGTCACCACCCAGTCCAGCTCAATCACCAATCATTCCTGTCTCAATCACCGGTTGACTCATCCTACTGAAAAAGACAAACAACTCACATTAACCAAGTCTATTCTTTATATAGAATTTCTATGGTGTAGGAGGTTTTTCTGTTCATGTATTGCTTTCATTGGTTAATGAATAAAGAAACTTTCTTGGCCTAGTTGATAGGGTGGATCTTAGGTAGGCAGAGAAAACAGAATTGAATGCTGGGAGGAAGAAGGGCAGAATCACAGAGAAGCCATGGATCCTCTGCCTGAGATGGATGCTAGTTAGAATCTCTTGTAAGCCACTGCCATGTGGCAATACACAGATTAAAGGAGATGGGTTAATCAAATATGTAAGAGTTAGCCAATAAGAAGTTAGAACTAATGGAAAACCAGGAATTTAATTAATACAATTTCTGTGTGGTTATATTGGGTGTAAGCTAGGTGGGTGGCCGGGAGAAACAAAGGGCCCCTCTCTCTTTACATTTCTATTTAGCTCTCTGTTGTTATTCTTTCTTAAGTATTTACAAATAATGAAATGTCATCTATGGGAGACACTATTACAGTAAGTCAAAGACAAACAAAAGCTACACTTGAAGAAGCCAGAGGCACACATACAGAAGAAGAGAATCACATAGAAAAAGAGGTCTTGAGAAAATGAAAAGATGTTACCTCAGAGGAAAGGTAGAGAGGTGTCCTTGACAATATAAATTTACACACCCTGAATTGAAGAGCCTGGACAATGAAGCTGAATTTCCCAGAAAGTAGCTAAGAGATTCAAAGACATGATGTTAGAAATTTGGCAATATAAGAATGAAATCTAGGATTCCAGTGAACATGTAGTAGCTGCAGAAGAGGAGGGGGAATATGTCATCAGAGAGGAAAGAGTAAAAAAAATCTTTACTAAATGTCTTGACCAAAAGCAACTAACTGATGGAGGTGGCAAAAAACTTAAAGCAATCTTCATCAGTGTCAAACTGTGGAGATAAAAGAGAAACCAGTCACAGTAGTTAGAATACCAATTATAATATCAGAATGCACAAAATTTGAGACAATGTCTCCAAAGTCAATAGGGAAATTTTTTCTCTACAGAAAAAAGTGAGAGAAAGTAAACAGGAAATCAGAGGGTTGGGTGTTCCACTAGTGAGTAATTAAGCATAAGAAAAAGGCAAAGAATGGTTGTGGTGGGGCTCATCTTTGTAATGTAATACCAACTCTTGGAAGACTCAGTCAGGAGGATCACCAAAAGTTTGAGAGGATCACAAAGATTTGAAGCCAGCTTAAGCTAAATAATGAATTCTAACCTGGACTTCATAGCAAGATCTTATCACACACACACACACACACACACACACACACAAACCATAGCAGCACTAGGGAGATGATTCAGTGTTGCAGAGCACTTGATGCTCTTGAAGAGGATCTAGGTTCTTTTTCTAGCACCCACAGAGTAGCAGACAACCATCTGTAACTCGTTCCTGGGAAAAATTACATACTCTTCTGATCACTGCAGCCAACAGACACAATATAGTGTGCAAATGAAACACTCACACAAATATAATTGATTAAAGATCTTAAAAATGAAATGATAAAAGCAAATAATGAAAAAGTGTGAGAGAATGGTCTGTATTCAGTCAATTATATTTTAAATAAACTCTGATTGGCCAGTAGTCAGACAGGTGGGACAACCAGACAGAAAATAGACTTGGGTCAATGAGAACAGGAGCATTCTGGGAAGAAGGAAGCTCATTCCTTTGCAGTCCTGACCGGACCACAGAAGCAAGATGTGACTGCCTTGCTGAAAAAGGTACTGAGCCATGTGGCTAACACAGATAAGAATAATGGGCTAATATAAGTTATAAGAGTTAAGAAGAAGCCTGAGATTATGAGCCAATCAGTTTATAAATAATGTAGACCTCTGTGTGATTTCTTTGGAACTTAACTATTGCGGGAACCACGAAGGACAGAAATTCTGACAACAAAAAAGAGTAGAGGGGAGGCAGGAGGAGAAGAAGATAAGGGAAAAAAGCCAAACAAATTCATTCTGACACCCAGGGAAGCAAAAGAAAGAACTGAAAACTATCCATAGAAAGCAGAAATAGTTTAACATAATTTAAATTTTAAAATTTTCTGTGTAAGACACCTTGCTAAGCATGAAAATAAAAATTAATATTTACATTATTCTATCTCTCACTCATCTGTGATTATATCAAACAGTAGACTCCTCGTATCTGGAGTGTCTACATTCTCCTGATGAGTGATGCAGCACAGGTTTAGGCAGATTCAGAGGATCCATTCAGGTGTCTCAACTTCCTGAAAGCAGTGTTTCAAACCCCACGTCACAGTAAACTGGACTGGACCTTAAGGAGACTGAAGGTCATAAGATTCACAAATCATATTGGTAGAGTGAAGACCATATCTTCTAATTTCCATTTTAGCATTCTGTACTTCGGGGGAGCATTGCTCTTTCCAGGGAGGAAATTCTGAGCCTCATTTCATGTAGGGAAGAGTGGAACCTAAAATTTAATCAAAGGCTGGAATACTCACCGTCCCATCAGGAAATGAGGTAGTGACATTAAGAAACACCCTAGGCCCATAAGCACACAACCAGCACCAATCATGATAGGCCTGTGCAGTTTTGTTCCAAAATAACTCACGAATATAATCAATAGAAGGCTTCCTAGGAGAGGGGAATGAGAATGTTGTTTCTGTAAAGTATTAGCAGATCATAGTAAACAGCCTCTTCATTGTTTAAATAACCACCTTAAGAATTCACTATATATATATGTGTGTGTGTGTATGTGTGTGTATATATATATATATATATTCACAGTAATATATGTGTCTGTGTGTGTCAGTTGTGACCCTGATGAAAACTTCTCTTCCATTCTAAAGAATATTAAATGCTTTATTCAGAAGTATCCAGTTCTTGGTAAAGCATAAAAAAGCAGATGTCAGCCTACACATCATCTCTGACCTCTTTTCTCACGCCTACTGTAACTCTGTAGAATCAAATGCATTTAATTTTTAAACTTAGTATTCAGAAACTCCTTAATTGTTCAACATGGTCAATCATGATGTCTGCTTCTACTGTAACATCCTCCCTTAGACCAGGCAATACTGTTAACAGAAATGTCAGAATCCTAACCATCCAAATGTGTCTTAGTTCTAGATAGCAGGAGTCAAAACTTCAAATGAAAAATTCATCTCTGTGGTTTAGGAGAAAGCTTAGGTTTAAAACTCAGTGGGAAACCTCATTTGACTTAGAGGACCTTGATAAACATGCTTAAGAAATAAAAGAATAAGTGTGGCCTGGTGGCACAGAGCTGCCATCCTCAGTCATAGGGGTTGGTAAGACAGGAAGACTGAAAGATCAAAGGTGGCCTGGGCTGCAGAGGGAGTTCACGACCAGTCTGGGAATCTTACTGTGAACTTCCCAGAAATAAAATGTAAATAAAGGAACTGGAAATACATTTGTTGAATGTTTTGTCTAAGATATGTGAGGCTTACGTCCATTTAATTAGTATTATTCACAGAAGAAAGGAGAATTTAGAAGAAACAAATATATAAATAAGCACTCTACAAATCTCATACTTTTAGTTTGGCGAATATTTACTGTGCTCATACTATATAAAAAGTAAGGATCAGAAAACTCAAACACACTTGTTCATGTCTTAGAAAATACCTCAGTGATCTTAAATATCTCAAAAATATTTGAAGACTGTCTTTCAATTCTATTTCTCTCTACTCTGCTATCTACATAGAAGAAATGTTGCATTATTTTGAATGGTATGTGCCATACCTCTGTATATTTTTTATGCTGTCTCTCTCCAAGACCTGTCATTGAGATCATCAAGCAGAAGGTAATGTCCCAGGATACTTATTGTTTGAACTCTGAACATCTTTCTAGTCTATTGATGAACAGCCATGAATGCACAGAATCTTGTCTGAAATCTCTATTGTTTGAAAGGAAAAGCCTCCCTTCTTCATATTAGGCTTAGATAGCCTTTACATTGCCTTGCTATCCCCCTCAAATAATTTGTGGGAGGGTGTGTGGGAAAAGGTAAGGTGCTGTTTAGGCCCTGGGAAGGTTGCTGGCAAAACTACCAAAACTACCATTTGGTAGGGAAAGGCCTACCAACTGCTGCATTCACTGGTTAATGACTGAATTTAAGACTTCTCTTAAATCACCTGCCAGTCAGTGGTGGTATTGTCATTTTCTACTTTAATTAGGACTTTTTTACCTTTAGTTTCAAAACCACTGATTTCACAGAAATTAGAATTTCCAAGAACTTGGATAAGAATTGTTATCAATAAGTATTAACTGGACATTAGCATTTGTGTTTGTGGTAGTGCAGAAGGCAATCGTGACTTGAAGAGTCATCATTCTGTCTCCAAAAGGCTTATAACCTTGTGGTTGTTGTAAATACTGCAAAAAGTCATGCAGCCAATAATTACTAGAAAATCAGATGTAGATAATCTTTGCCTTTTTAAAAAGCATGAATATTCCTTCCTGAAAAAATGTTTAAATGTTCTGATAATTATACTTCAGTGTAACTGGATTCCTTTTGAACTATATAGTTTCATTTTGTACAATTAAAATGTCCTAAAATCAGGTGGTATTGGCTTTTCAATAGGAGTCCATAGCATAAAAAGATCATGACACTCTTCAAAGCCCATAATGGCTCTCTGGCACCAGAAGGATAAAAGACACATTCCAGAGCAAGCTATAGTCTTTTCCCATTTTTTTGTCACTGCACACTTCTCCAGGTTCATGTTCTAACAACTTACATCTTCCAATACCTCAGGGCTGACTTGATCCAAACACAAACTATTTGATGGTTCACCCCTGTACACATCTCTCCATCACATTTACCTGTCCGTTTCTCCTCCCGGATCACCTTTCCCCTTCAGGATATTGTCTTCCCTAGCTCAATGTCTTCCATAGGACCTTGGATAATGAATGAAGAGCACATGCTGCATCTAACACACTAGAACATGACTGAATCTATAAAAAGTCTATGTAAGACATTCATCCTGACAGCACTGGGAAAACCTAGAACACATGTAAGATGTTTTATCCTGGGAGATAAGATGAAACAACCTCAATGTGGATTAGTTACTTCACAGTCCTGATTTTCATGGCTGTTTTGGTTGAATACATTAAAATCAATTTCACTTTGAAGGAAATAAAAACTAAGAACAAAAGGTTTCCAGGTCACTTTGTTTTAGAAGGCATCTTTCCCTCCTTCGCCCTTTGTACTGTCATATTCCAGTTCATTACCCTCACTACCCAAATCTTTGGAATTGTGTCTGACACAATTCAGACACAGGAAAGCATCCTCATCTTCCTCAGTGTCTATGACTGGAGAGCTGCCAACTTCACAGGCACAGTGGGGGCAGAGAAGCATTTGCTCTTTCCTTCAGAACACCAGTTCTTCCAGGCTCCCACAGCAACCTTCTAAAATGCCGTGAAAATGGACTTATTGTCTGTCTCAGTGATCTAGTGATGGAATTAGATATTAATACTCTAAATCATATTTCAATCATCAGAAATAGAGGCCATATCAGGGTATATAGTAAAGAATACATATTATCTTGGGTACATTTAAATAAATGGTTACTCCACACCCAGACCAGGCCGTTCAAACACATCAGAAAGCATGTAATTCAGTCAGTTTAGAAAACCTTATGCAGGAAATTAGGAGAGACTATCAATACACAATAATAAGTAAATATAACTCACCAATATCAAAACTCCCATTGATAAGTCCAGCTATAGATGTGGGGATATTGAATCGCCTCTCTATTTGTGTGAGCATGGAAATCATATAATTTCGTGATAGTGCTTGGGCTAGACATGCCATTGTTAATGCCAACAGAAACATCTAGGAAGAAAAACATTTAAGAAAAAGTGAGAACTTTGTTTTCCAATTATATATCTACCAACTACTGACAAAACAGCCTCTAAAATGATGTTTGCTTCCAAACTAAACAGTCCTTGAACATGGAAGAAACTTTAAAATGTAATCTCTCCTCTACCATAGTGTCCTAACCCTGGAAAAGCAGTTAGAATAGTAGATTAGCAGCGGTGAGTTTTGTAAAAAGGTATGTCTTTGTTTTTCTATCCATGTACCTTATTCATACAGAGAGACATGGAGCTATTCAATGTAAGACACATTCATTGATGGGTCTTCAGGATTATAAGGTTATCTCCAAGACAAGTGCTGTCCACTTTAAGGAAGGCAAGACGCAGAACACAATTAAACCAAAGCATATTTCTGTTCATGTTTTCAGGATCCTTCTCGAGAACTGTATCTTCCTTGGGCTGCCATGCTTTGAACCGTGATAGTTATGGACTAAACCTCAGAAATTTTAAGGCAGCCCCAGATAAATGTTTTTCTTTATAGGAGTTGCATGGTTATAGTGTTTCTTCAAAGCAATAGAAACCCTGAGACAGTAATCAAAGATGAGCGTTGGGAAATGTTTATGATACCTCATGATATTTCACTATAAATGCTAATAATATTGGTAATTGATAATCAGAATACCCATCATTATCCTTAGCTTGAATTTGGAGATGTAGCTCAGCAGTCAAGACCACTGGTTGCTCTTTCTGAGGACCTGAGCTCAGCTCTTCACACCCACATTGTGTTTCAAAACTACCTGTATCTTTAGTTTGAGGGAATTCAACGCTTTCTTCTGGCCTCCAAGGACACCAGACACACAAGTGGTACACCAACATACATGGGGGCAAAAGGGTCATATACATAAAAACATAAATTGAAGGTAATTAACATATTTAACAACGGAGAAGGAGGTATAGATCAGTGATAGAGGTATTGGCCGTTGTGTTGAGCATCTGGGTCTAATCACCCATAGCACTTGAAAACGATGACACTGAATGGTGAGCACTCACACACATACAGAGAAAAACACAGAGAGGGATACATAAACACAGATGCCTCAGAATGATGGCTTTGTCTTTAAATGTAGGACTACCACTATCCTTTTCAGATGAAGTACAAACACATTGCACAAATTGTCCAAAGAGACACATCTAGTAGACATCTTTCAAAGGTTAAGATCCAGAGGCCCTGGGGTCCTCAGAATGTGAGAACTGAAGGATAACTTGAGGGGTTGGATTTCAATAATTCATGCATCACTGCAGGTAAAAACACTTCCCACGACTGAGTCTGAGGCCTCCTCTCATTTACATTAATGTATGGAGTCCACTACAGGTGGAAAAGGTTAATGAGCTTGTGATTGGATGACTTAGGAGGCAGCAGCTTAGAGAGGAATCTAGGAGGAACTCTACATAGACCTAGTCTAACCATGTTCAGATCCTGGGTTAAGCTAAGCTTGCATTTAGTGATACCTTTGGAACTGTGAGAAGGATAACTATCTCAAAACTATTGAAAACCACCCAAACAGTAAACAGAATAGATATTTTCTCTTACATAATGATTGGAGTATTGTCAAAGCTCATAGAATATAGTCATCTGACTAGATCTTTGCATATTAATCAACACAACACTTTTATTCAGGAACTGTTTCCTAGGCGTGACCTGATCTTTTGTCAAAAATCCTTCAGAACTGAGCACTGGCTGGACCTCTGACCACAGGCCAAATTCCATCACAGTATAATACACATATAAAATATTTTAAGTCTCATGCTCCTTTAAGACTCCCTAAAACAGTGATAATTAACCTTTATAATGATGCATCCTTTATTACAATTCCTCATGTTCAGTTGGACACAACCATGAAATTGTTTTTATTGGCTCCTTCATAGCTTCGATTTTCCTACTGTTATGAATTGTAAAGTAAATAGTTGTGCTTTCCAATGACCCTAGGTGACTCCTGTGAAAGGGACTTCCACCCTTAATGGGTCTCAAATCATAGGTTGAAAATCTGTACTCTAAGTTAGTCTGAAAAATCTGTCTAGTTAAATAATCCTAGCTAGATAACCATAATAATAAAATCAACTTCTTTAAGGCAGTACATTAAGAACACATTAAGCAAAATAGTTTTTATGTTGGGAAACTTCATATAAGCTGAGCAATGTTACAAGAATTTTCAGTGCTTGCTTTAAAAGATTGTCATGCATATATACATGCACATATATCTAAATAATTCATACCTTCATTTTCGAAAAACATCTCACCCCATGGGTTGCAAACCTTTTCCCAGGTTCTCCCATGTTCTTATGACGGTTTCCAGATGTTTATGTTTTAAATGTCTTACTGCTTCCTTTTCAAAAAAGCAAACAATTGTTAATTAAATCATTTACTGAGCTGTAATGAGTCATTCCAAAAATGAAAAATAAAAGCTTTTCTAGGTCTCTTAGTCAAGATTACTATTGAGATAAAATACCAAGACAAAATCAACTTAAGTGGAAAGGTTTTATTTTAACTTATAATGTTTCAATTACAGTTCATCACTGTTAGATTTCAGGGAAGAAACTCATGACAGCACCCTGAATACAGGTGCAGTTGCAGAGGCCATGGAGAATCACTGTTTCCTGTTTTGTTCCTTATGGCTTAGACTGCCTGATTTCTTAGACAACCCAGGATGGCAATCCCAGGTATCCACCCACAGTGAGCTGGGCCCTCCACCATTAATTTTCAGTCAAGAAAATGCACCAAAGAAAAGACCATGTCTCCTTGGGACTGTTTTTCAACTAATAGTCCTCCTACCCAAATGTCACTAGCCTGTGTCTAGTTGATATAACCTGTTCAGCACAGCTGTGGAAGTGATTCAATTGGTACTGTGATTCCTATGACTGAGGACCTCAATTTAAATTCTTAGCAATCAAGTGATCTTCTGGGAAATTTTTTGTAACCCCAACACTGGGAGGACCCAGACAGCAGGATCACAGTAGTGTGTCAATCTGGTACTCTAATCAAATGAACAACTGAAAAATTTGTGAAAAACCTCCATTATAAAAACTGAGGTGGAGGAAAACATTAAGTATTGACTCATCTATGTATGGGCATCTGCGCCTGCACACACATTTACATATACATACATATCAATATGTACATATTCACTGTATTCACATACATGTACACATAACTATTTGAATAGGAACAATTTAACTAATACCTTGAATACTATAAAATTACCTAGGAAGTTTTTATTCTGACTGATCATGAAAATAATGCTATAAGAGAAGTTTTGGTTTGCTGTGGGAACTCCTTCAGTTAATAGCCTTTAAGATACCAGTCCACTTGGGCATGGTCACTTAAACTATAAATGCAGCCATAATTCATTCTCTTAATATCTCTCTCTCTCTCTCTCTCTCTCTCTCTCTCTCTCTCTCTCTCTCTCTGCTTGTGCAGTGGACTGTAAACTGTGAGTCTACACCTATATTATAATCAACTCTGAGCTAGTGTGGGACTATTTTATACTGTCAATCTACATTGGTTTGTTGATTTCGACTGAAAAAGCCAATACAAACTACTTTAATTAGATTTCCGTGTTATTAAAGCATGACTCAGAGCTTGTTAGGCTCTGGTGTTAACCTAATGACAATGTAGTTAAAATAAAACTTTTCAATTCTTTAGCAAAGCAAAAGAAACCCAGATGGTGCCCTTTCAACTTACTTGAAGGCTGCTGCCTTTAAGAACTCGAAGCTATCTCTTGGTTTTTTTCTCAACCTCTGCTCAACTAAATTCACAAAGGCCACTTTCCAGGCTTCCTTCTTGAGGTCTTTACATTCCAAACTTCCCTGGAGTCTCAATATGAGAAAAACTTTTTGAGGCACTTTGATTCACAGAAACCTAGGGAGACATAAAATTTTACTCAAAAATTGATACAAACATAAACAACAGATACATCTAGAACTTCAAAGTTTTAAAATGTAGGGATATGAAAATACCAGAAACCCAAAGAGACATCTTGCATGGTTGTTTATCACTACATCTTATGTATGTACAAACATGCACCTCTCGTTCTTTTCAATGTTTCTTAAACCTAACAAAGGTCTACCCATTTGTTTGGGAATTCTGAAATCAATACCTAAAATAAAACTGAAGAACTGATTAGCAAAAAAAAAATGCACCTCCCTGTATAGGTTTTATGCATGTACAAGTATTAATATACAATGCAGAAAGGTGACTTGAAATCTATTTAACAGTACTAGCCTCATCAAACTGTTTTGTGTCTTGGAAGTAGGACATTTTCATCACCATTTTAATTTTATACTTATTCTAGAAAGTCCAGAACACAGATCATGGGCCTCCAACTGGTCTCTGTGTACAACATAAACCAAGAACATTTCCCCTAGACTCAGAAAGCTCACAGACTTATATAATGCTCTTGAAATTTGTCCATATTCACACACACACATATGTCACACAAAAATGACTTCAGAAGGCAGAGTTGGCCACCCACATCAACATGGCCCTCATGATTGCAGCATGGTCTATGGACATCAACATGGATTCCAGCTGCAGCACAATCATGGACATCCCTACGGTCTATTGTGACAACACAGATCATGGAAATAAATCAGACTTCAGAACCAGTAGGACCCAGACACAGCTCTCTGCAGCAGAACAGCTCCAGACATCACCATAGCCTTAGGTGGAAGTTCAGGTCACTCAGATCTCTAAGGTATCTGGAGGCAGAATGGTCCACAGAATATGGAATGTGGTGCAGTACCGACCAAGGATATCTTCCTGACCCTTGTTGGAATCATGTACAAAAGACATCATCCAAGCCCCTATCAGCACTCAACTGGGTGTCATGTAGTAGTCATGAACCCTGGCTCTCTTAACACAATACACACAAAGATATGTTTTATATTATAATTATATACATAATTATATAATATTATGTAATTATATAATAATTATAAAATATATATATATCAGATAACCACTTGCTTCTTTGTTCAATTTTGTCCTCCCCTCTTCACCACCAATAAGGATTGTTTTAGCACGCACGAAAACAGCTGGCATGATGTTTCTTCTGGATGGCATCCCTCCACGCTTCTGTCTGTGAGTCCCCACTGATCTCCACTTTATCCTGAACTGTACCCAGTCTAGACTGAAGCATTCCCCAAAGTTGCTGCAGTTCCTGAAGAAAGCTTGCCTTACTCTGCTCATTATCCAATACAGGTTGTTCTCAGAGAACAATGCAATGGAAATTATAATTTTTATATTGTCTCAATTATTCTCTTTTTTATCAGCATAGGCAAAGTTTGAGGAACAAAAGTATCTTAATCTTGTGGAAAAAATATTTGAACTTCTTTTTCTCATATAAAAAAGTGTTTACATGTTTCCATGTACCCCTCATATCTGAAAATACAGCAAAACCCCAGGGTTTCCCCTAATCCATTTATGTGTACATTTTCTCATTCACATCTTAAAGAGGAGACATCTGGAGAGTGTTAGGTATAAGACACCATTGTGACCTTAATCCCAGATGTGTTGACTTTTGCCGATATGATTTTTTTGCCTTTTTATATTGAAGCAAGGATTATTTATGTCTATCATGCAAGACTGTTATGAAAATGAACTGCATATCTCCCATCAACACCATGACTTGTCCCTGGAATTAAACAGTCACCCTGTCAATGGCTGTGAATAATATTCATTCACTCCATAAATGTTTATTAAGGCTTTACTAAAATCTGAGCACAGTTGTATGTATCACGGGTCTGAAGATGAAGAAGATGAAGCTTGTGCTCATTCTCAAGAGGTCACAGAAGCTATGGGAGAGACAGATCATAAACTGGTGAACGGTGGCTATTGCCATGATGCAGTCAGTGTCAGAGGGAAAAGAAGATTAATGAGAACCATTCTTATGCCCGTGTCATCTGAGTGCAGCATAATAGCTTAGCTTCTTCTTCTTTGAAATAAGTACAAGTTTGAAGATCTGTTTGCAAACTATCTGCACGTTTGGGACAGACAACTCAGTTTCTCTAACCACAAATAAAAACAGCATCTATTGTCTTCGAAGTGCAGAGAAGAAAACAGAGTTTATAACCAAAACCAAAAATAATTTAATGTGAGAAGACAGTCACAAAGACAAAAGAAGTGTTAGAAAGTCATACTGGGAAGCAGGTTAAATCAGGAGGTGAAGGAGCTGAGATGCACAGGCTGGAGATCTCAATGTCAGAAAGCCACCGCTGGAAACTAGGAAAGCCCTGGCATTTCCCGTTTCTCCATAATCACAATGTCACACAAATATTTACCAGTAATACATCCTAACAGAGTCTGATAGACAGGGAACCTTTGTTTTCAGTCTAGCATATAGAATAAATAGAGTATGGGAGTAAATGGATGTGAAAACAGATGAACACTAGCCAAAACAACCATAATCCTCACTGCCAAATTAAATATCTTAACACATATTATAAAATGACCGCACAAGCAAGAGTCAGCTAATGGTAGTTGTTTGCTGCTGCAGAATAGATTTAAAGTCTACAGTGTTGTTCCAACTGGGTCAGGAGATAGTTTGTTGAATATTTCAGCATGATGTGTATGTGAGTACTGTTGATTAATTTTGCAATTCTGGCATTTTCCCCTGTATTTAATTACAAAACATTCAGGCAGCTGAGTCAATAGTTTCATCTCAATGCATCATCAGTACATATTTGAAGTCCAAAATCCAAATTGGGAGTGCCTTTGAATGCTACTACAAAACAATGACCCACAAAGCCCCTAACTGAATAACCTTTAAAACACAAAGTTGAATTAAAAAATAATTAGTGGACTCAGTGCATCTAGCTCTTTTGAAGTGCTTTTCTTTCAGAAAGATTTATAAGACAAAAGTAATTGACAGCATTGGTCCAATTATAATCTCCATTTGTACCATTGAAGCACCAATACTGTTGTATTCCTTGCATACAGAGGCCTACTAAAGCTCTCCAACACACATATTGAAAACTAAAATTCCTGTTTTTTTAAAAGTTGCATGTATTCACTATCTACCTGAATGCTTGCCTTTATACCTGTTTACATAAGACAATTTGACACAGATAACTTTGTGAACACAGAATTTATATAAAGAGCTCTATGTAAACTGTTTTAGAAACCAGTGTTGTTTCATAATTTTTTATTTTGATTATTAAAATCTTAGATTTAACATTAATTTAATAGCAAATACATGATAAACTTTTTATATGCCATTTAGACCTAATGAACTAAAAATACTTTTTTTTGAAAAAAATCATCACAGTTATTTATTTTGTATGTGCACATGTGTGTGTTGAATTTGTGCAATATAATACATGTATAGGTCAGAAGAAATATTGCAAGACTCAGTACTCTCCTTCCACCACATGAGTTTTTGGCATGTGATTCAGTTATATGTCCAAGGCAACAAACTGACTTTTACCCACTGAACCATTGAAAAGCCTCCTTTATAGGCTTTCTAGTACTGTCCCAAGACCCAATCTATTGTTGGAGGCCACTTGTTCATTTCCAGACTGCCCTGACTTGACATAATCACACAGAAACTATATTATTTGCAATACTGTTTGGCCAATAGCTTAAGCATATTTCTGGCTTACTCATATATCTTAAATTAACCCATTTCCATCATTTCATATTTTACCATGAGACTTGTGACCTACCAGCAAGGTTCAAGTTAGCAGCTTGTGTCTTTCTCCTCTGATGGCTCCATGGCTTCTCACAACTCTGCCTTCTTTCTCTCAATATTCATTTTAGGTTTCCAGACCTAGTTGTACTCTGCCCTATCATAGGCCAAGCCAGATTCTTTATTCATTAACCAATAAAAGCAACACATATACAGAAGGACTTCCTGCACCACAAATCCAATCTCAGACATTGTGTTTAAGTAATTATCTGTAGTTTATAGATAAGAACCAGTGTTTTGGCCTTTTCTTGGCAAGAGAAGGATGCTTGAACATCATAACAGAGAACATCATGGAGCTGAGAGATGATTTGTTGGTTAAGACAACTTGCTGTTCTTCCCAGAGCACACATCAGGTGGTTCAGAAGTACCTAAAACTCCAGCTCAAGGTATTCAGCACCCTTGTCTAGCCTCCTTTGGCACCAAAACCATGTAACAGACACACATACTCACACACATCGATTTTTTTATTAAAATTTCTAAGAATGCCAGCTGTTCAAAATAGCTGCCAATACAAATCTATCTAACGTCCCTTCATGATAAGACTGTCATTACACCACTAGTGTGGGAATATTGTGGGAATGATATGATGCCTTCCCAATGTGCCCAGGCATGTAGTGCTCATTTGTCCCAGTATTGGTAAAGGGAGCTTTGGCTATGTGGTCTATGTGTATCTTCCAGTTCTATCAGTATCAAGGTATTTTCCCATTTTAATCATAGGACATTTGTGTGGAGTTCTATAGATCACATAATCTTTTGTATATCATTAATTCACTAGTTTTAGCACTCAGTGGCAACTTAAAATCCATTATTTGTGTAAAATGTACCAGCTGATATTCTGTGCTAGGAGACTGTTTCCCTTATTTCTCAATATTTACTAACTCAAATCAGTATGGACTTAAAGCTTTTTATTATACTAAATGGATTAAGGTCTACATCCTCAATCATTGCATTAGCTACCTTTTCCATTTCTGAGACAAAATATCTGACAGAACATTGTGGAATATTACTTTAACTGTGTAAAGATAAGTTATGTTTGTATATGCTATCACTTCAACGATGTAAAGATGTGTTGAATTTTTATGCTGCATTTAACTATGAAAAGAGTTACATTTGTTTATGCTACAAGTTTAATGATGTAAAATTGTATTCCTTCACCTGTGTAAAGCACCTGATTGGACTAATAAAAATTTGTTTAGCTAATAGCTAAGCAGTAGAGCAATAGGTGAGGATGGCAGACAAAGTGACTAAGTAAAAGAATGAATATAATTATAAGAGAAGATAATGAGGGAGAAGCCCTGGGCCATACAGACAGGCAGTGACCAGACAGACAGACCCAGAGGAAGTAGAGAAGTAGGACATATAGAATGAGGGAAAGGTAAAATGTCCCCAGGCAAAATGTAGATAAAGTGAAACAGGCTACTCTCAGCTAAAAGAGTAATGAAACAAGCATAAGTTAAGGCTGTGCATTCATAACTAATAATAAATCTTCATGCCATGATTTGGGGCTGGCAGTGCTAGAAAGTCTACTACATTTGATACCCAATGTGAGGACCTAATTTCTACGTGTGGCCTAAGAAAGCTTAAAAAAGAAAGACAAATGGATTCAGCTCCTTTAAAAGACTATGTCAAACAAGTAATTGAGCAGCTGGCACATTAGGAAGAAACAGTGAACTAAGTAAAAATGCGCAGAGAGGAGGACCAACTTCCTGGTGCTGGGGTAGTTGAATGTAGCTCCTGGCGAGAAGCAGCTCCTAGTCAATGCACCTCTTCATCGGGGAGGAACAAGTCACCAAGATAAAGCTGTGCTGCTAAGGTTTGGCTCACACAGTCAGAAAAGGACCAAGACATGCAGTAGCAGGTTACAGTTTTTTTGCAGAATCAAATAGAGGTAAATGAAACCAATTTACTAAGGGGTTACAATGGAAAGGAATGAACTCACAAATACAGAGAAAGGGCTGAAATTACCACTGATCTTGTGCTCTCTCTCTTTTGTCTTATGTCTCTCGTCACACTAAGCAAGAGAGTGAGCATATTTCGTCATGCAACTTATAGTGCATACATATCCCCTCAGACTATGCCCAAAGGGCCGATATCCCAAAAGGAAAATGACTGAATGAATTCTGACAATGCAATGTATTTAAAAAATGTGCATAGGTTTAAGAAAGAAAAGAAAATGGGTATAGGCATTCATAAGGAAAAATATATAGTTTAGAGATAATAAAATCTTTAAAGAAACAGTAAAGTAATATAAAGTAAAAAAGACATGTAAAGATGGGAAATACACAGGGAATCTGGATCCTGCATGTATGTTGTGTTGACTTTGATTTTTTTGAATGCTGAGAGACATGGGATTGTAAACAGGACTGCTGGATTAAACCAGGCTAGATACCTTAGGAATGATTTAACTTTAAAGTGGATTTCAAGAAATGTAATTGCATTGGGAGAGAGATTATGCTTTCATTGCCATAGAAACAAAAGTCCATGGATTCCTTCAAGGTCAACAAAGATCAGGTTTGGTCACAGGAGACCTGTTGAAAATCTTGATTACAGACATCAAGAAATAAACAACAAAAACTATAAGAAAGGTGACATATATACTTGTCCCTCAAGATGTAAAGATTTCTCACACTGGGCAACAAAGGTTACAACTAGTTTTCCTAGGACTTGACCATTGTCTCCATTTTCTCATGGACCCCTGGAGATGTTGTCACCCACACACAACAGGAAGCAGTCTAGAGAACACAAGGCTCACTTTCCCAAGTGGGGAAGTGGTTAGTTTTTAGACATTTGATGGGTTATGATGTTTGTTATCATTTGGGTGTATATGAATATAATATGTCAAATATTTTACATTGGTAAGTGTTTTTGTATATTGATAAGAATATAAAGCTATTTTTGTTATACTGTTTGTACGTTTCTACTATTGTTTGTGGTATTATGTTTATTAGGGTCATTTAAATATGTAATGTATAATTCAGAAATACAGATTATTAATAAGATATCTACATAATTTGATTATATAATAATCAAACTTATAGTCAAATTAAGTATGCTTTCAAGGTTGAACAGATATATTTTACCTAACTAGATGAATGTCAAATGCTTCAGAGACCTACAGAATATAACATTTACGATGTTCAATAACCTAAAGCTATTCATGACAGTGATAAATATTTGGCTCTGGAAGTGCTAATCTACTTCATAAAAGGATGATAGATATCAAAGAAATTCCATATGGAGTTTGCTTTCATTGTGGCAAATCTATTCATTTGGGCAAGGATCTGTCCTTGCTTTAACTGGTGACAGTATTCCATCCAAACTGGACAAGCAGGATACAAATGAAAAAGGCAGTAGAACTTTACCAAGACAGGTGGGACAGTCATTTTAAATTCCTGCTTCATAGAAAATTCTGCCATATATGCTTGGCCTGTATGGTGAAGTTGGATGTCCCAATAATACAAAAAAGCATGGGTGGTACTCCAGGCACCCAGATGTCTCTGTCATCTCTACAGTTCTGGAAATGGCAGTGACTTGCTATGTACTTCCTATTTACTCAAGTAATATAAATCTTCTTGGGATATATTATGAAGTTGAAAACTAGACAGTTATCTATATAGTTTCCTTAGGTATAAGAGGTGACAAATGAGGTACAGTACTAATCAAGATAGGATAAAGTGTTTTCTCTGTGAACTTGTTATATACAAATGTACTAGATATAAATGTAATTCTTGATAATTGTTCTTATTGTATATTGTCTTTCTATGTTAAAGCTGGAATCTTTTTTTATTTAGACAAAAAGAAATATTACTTTAACTATACAAAGACGTGTTGCATTTGTTTAAGTTGTAGAATATTACTTTAACTATATAAATCTGTATTGATTTGTTTATGTATGGAAAGTTGTGTTACGTTTGTTTATGCTTCATTTGTTCAATTATGTAAATATGTGTTGCTTTGCCTATCTAAAGCACCTTATCAGTGAAGTAAAAAGTTGAATAGTCAATAGCGAGGCCATTAAAGGATATTCAGGGTTGTTGGACAGGAAGAATAAGTGGGAAAAAATTTAGACTGAAAGAGAAGAGAGACAGAAAGAGAAAGAGAGGGAGACACCTGGGTCCAGCCAAACATGCAGCCAAACAAACAGAAGAAGCAAGAAAAGTAGGACATATAGAATAAAATAAAAGTAAAAATCCCTGAGGCAAAAGATAGATGAAGAGGAAGGTTAATGTAAGTTATAAGAGCTAGTGGAAAAAGCTAAGATAAGACAACATTCATAATGAATAAAAAGGTCTCTGTGTGATGATTTGATGGTGAACAGTTCAAGATCCTGCTATGACAAATATAAGCTATATAGGAAAGAAATTATTTTGTCTCATACCTTGAGGGTGCAGTCCATCATGGTAGAGAGGGAAGGGTAAGACTGCTGAGAGGTGTCTTACTGCAGCCACTGTTGGAAAGCTAGTGTTAGCATACTTTGTCTTATTGACTGATGGAGAAGGGTCATCTGTCTATTGGTTAATAAAGAAACTGCCTTGGCCCTGATAGGACAGAAAATTAGGTAGGTGGAGTAGACAGAACAGAATTCTGGGAGGAAGAAGGCACTGAGCCAGACATTATGACTCTCCTCCCCAGGCATTCGCCATAGCTCTCCTCTGCAAGATGGATGCATGTAGTAATAAGGGTGGCGAGGCTGCGTCCCCAGCACCCCAGCTGCCTGGCTAGCTTATGCCCAAAATAACAACACAGAAACTGTATTCATTTAATCACTGCTTGGCCTATTTCTATCTAGCCTCTTCTAGGCTAATTCTCACATATTAATTTAGCCCATTTCTAATCATCTGTGTAGTGCCCCTAAGGTGCGCTTACCGGGAAGATTCTAGCCTATGTCCATCCTGGGTCAGAGCTTCATCATGTGCGTCTGCCTGGGAGCTGGGAACATGGCGTCTCTCTGAGGCGTTTGCTCCCCAGAGGAGAGCTGCGGAGTCTGAGCTCACTTCATCTTCCTCCCAGTGTTCTGTTCTGTTTACT